AAATGCAAGTAAACTTTTGAAACATTTAAATTAGCTTTATTTTTGCATAATAAGTAATGCTATATTTAATAATGCTGTAAAATAATTAAATAAAATATAAAAGAATGCTAATTTAAATGTTTCAAAAGTTTACTTGCATTTGATTAGAAGCTGCGTGCGCAAAAATTACATGTAAACAATGTTAAGGCTATTTTGGTTATGCTCATCGCTGGTCTGGTTACTGGTGTAGGGCTATAGCCAAGCTGTTAAAATTAGACCACAGATTGCCTCGATTTCTCCAGGTGGGCTAAAAGCAGACTACACGTAGCCCGTCTAATTTAGAGCTAAATCGTGGCTACATATAGACCATGTCATGAAATGACACTTATATCTTAGATATTATTGACACTGCGAACATGATGGGATATCAACCATCTCGTGCGCTGCCTGGCCAAAAACTACAGTGAATCAGGTTTGACTATAAGTGGGCTAGAGATAGCTGCTCGGACTATGAGCTAAATCATGGCTATGCACAGGCTACGTATTGAACATGTCAAAGAAATGAAGCCAAACACCTTGTAAACGCTGTTGACTTTGCTTACATGATGGAATATCATACATCTCGCAAGTTATTTTGCCAAAAAATGACATGAAACCAAATTCAAGGTTATTTGGGCTAGAAGTGGGTTACACATAGCCGGACTATATCGGGTCTATACTTAACCGAGACGTTGAAATGAGGCTATTGCTTGCTGGGTTGTTTGTGGTTAGTAAGACACATGTATAAAATGTATGCAGTACATGGATAATTGTGCGTGCATCTATTAATAATTCTGAGTCTAATATCATCCCACAGGGCACCAACAGAGCCTGGGCCGGCCCTGTGGGACCACTACATCATTCTCTTGGAAGACAACAAAGATTCACAGATGGTAAAGAAATGAACAGGACTGATGAACCACAGACACAAAATACTACAAATGTGTTAATTAGTACCAGAAACGATATGACAATTGAGATTATTGATCATCAGTGGTTTGTGATTGATGTAACTAATAAATGGCGCAATCTGGTGGCTTTTTGAAAGAACAGCAGCTAGACAGCTAAACTAATTATTTATTCTTTTCCAAAGCTTGGTTGGCTGTTTTAATCAATGCTTTCATTTCATATAATATGTTGGGATCCAAATTAATACTGTACGTGATGTTATGTAGATGTTCTGTGTATTTGTTTCATAATCAATTCTTTTGTAATTAAATCCATGATTTCTTGTAGGCCTATTATCCATTTGAGGTGCAATTTAAAAATGTAAATGTGTTGTAATGTGATGTAAATTCATTTGGTGTTCTTCAAAACATAAGCGCGAGAATGCGTCACTTTAACGGAAATGATGAGCGGACGCATCACAAGGCTCTATGTAATTTTCTACCTATTAGATTGTGTTTTATTAACGTCTACACCTACCCTAACCCTAAACCTATCTCTTACAATAATCCAAAAATAGTCATTATTGTTGTACAGTGTGGCAAAAATTACGCTGTATTGATGTGCGCATGCCCAGCAGCGCCGTATCCCTTCTAGCCTTCGCCATTAAAATACATTTAAGTTTAAAGGGGTCATATGATGCGATTTCAATTTCCTTTCTCTTTGGAGTGTTACAAGCTCTTGGTGCATAAAGAAGATCTGTAAAGTTGCAAAGACTAAAGTCTCAAATCCAAAGAGATATTCTTTATAAAAGTTAAGAGTCAGCCACGCCTACCTAAAACAGCTCGTTCTAACATGCCCCCACATACCTACCTCACTATGTGGGAAGATTTGCATAACGCCGCCCAAATGTTCACACAAAGAAAAAAGGCATAACTTTTATTCTCGCTGTAGTATTGTTGCCGCCGCCATGTCGCAAAGACGCCGTAAAGGCGTGTGTTTGTGTTCTGTGTGTTTCGTTGTGAAAGCAAAACTACTTTGTTTGGTCTTCCAAAAGAGGACGATATCTGCTTCGTCTTGACTAGAGCTGATCCGTGCTGGTCGCTGCGGGAATACATCAACTTAGTGCTGTGGATCGCCAGATCGGCTTTCACCGTGGACGAAACAGAGTCCAGCCCGGGGTCGTCACATGTCCTTCCGGACGCTCCTTCGTCGAAATCGCCAACCGCGTCATTCTCAAGCCCACCCACCTCTGCTCACTCAGCCCGCCGGCCGTTCCTCACGCTAGCCTCTGGCCTCTGCTCACTGTAGGCTGCTGTGTGTGACGCAGTGTTTCGTTGTGAAAGCGAAACTACTTTGTCCGTCCTTCCAAAAATGGACACGACTAGAAATCAGTGGTTAAGTTGTATTTACAACACTGTTCCAGAACACTTCAACCCAGGGCTGTTTCTAGGCATAGGCGAGCTAGGGGGCCAGCTGAAGGGGCGCCAATGAGCGCACGTACTGGCACTTTTAGCAGGGTTGTGATAAAGAGTGGCACCGTCACCCTGAAATATGACTGGCGCCCCCACTGGATCCCCCAACATTATTGGGCTAGAGTACTGTCAATCTGACGATGCCTGTATGCCACTAGATCAGAGTGCTGTCAATTGCTGCCTGATTGTTGCATAAAAAGCTTGCATTTGGAGCGCTTAACAACGCCATTAGATCAGTGGGCTCTGTCAGTGCTTTGGCAAGGTAACACTTTTTTTTTTGCTATGCAATAAAGCTAAGTTCAAAGGCCAATTTAAAATATTGGTACAGTAAATAAAGTGCACAAAATCAGTATTTTGTTTAGGCAGTATTTGTGAAACTTTTGTGGCACATTTGTCCAAATATTTGTGGCAGATTTGTCCAAAAGGTGTCTGTTTTTTGCGTCAATGCATTGTTAAAGGATCAGCGTGTCATGTAATATTCCCATATAAACTTTAACATCCAATTAAAAAATATTTGTATAGTAAAATTCGCTAATTCACCGATCAATACATACTTTATTAGACCGCTTTGTCGAGTTAAATGCATCCTTACGGAGGTGTCGAAATGCTGAATCAATTCATTCACTTCCAACAGCGCTTAATGGGAGCAGCGTCATAGAGGGCAGAGCGTCACGTTATTTAAAGGGGACGATAACGCATTAACGAGTAGCAAATGATTAAGTAGTTGCATTGGTTACTTTTAAGCCACTGATAAAGCTTTTAAATGTAGTTTGGGGTAACAAAGGGGTTTTATAGGTTTGACTGAAATAATAATGCAATAACTGACACTTTAAATCAATGTTTCAAGAAACAACAACAAAAAAATTTAACAAAAAACAGATAAAGACAAAAAAGTAGCCATTGATAATATCTAAACAATATGTAGTATTATAGTATATAGTATCCAAATCAAAATGTAATGAAATTAATTTATGTGTGATTTATATGTAAATTATGTGCATTGTCTTAGTCACTAGGGATTGTTAGATAGGGCTATACAGGCATCTAGTGGCAACACGATATTACAGATACTAAATTGTGCAAAATGTTTATCTTAACAGTCAATTTACAAATAATGCATTCAGATTTGTGGAACTCAATGCACTGAATCTCCACAAATTAGTGTCGTTACTATGACAACCAATTTGAATGTGACAAGCAACTGGTGTCTGAAGAGAATTATATACATATATATATATATATACATATATAGGGATTTCACCTAGGGCGTCAAATTGGCTAGAAACGGCCCTGCGTCAACCCAAATATTCAGATGTGTGCGGCACATTTTATGGAGGACCGTTTCCTGATCCTGGGAGAGTAGACTACAATGCTGGCTGTTCTGACTCAAAGACTGTAAGTACGTTTTTTATATTTAAAGAGTTTTTATATTTGTTATATTTAAAGTGAGTTTTTTGGGCAGTGTAGAGTAGGGCTTGTTGTTTGTCATTTCTCTGATCACAAATGCAGACATGGTTTTATGTTTACGCGGCGCAATGCAACGCAACGCGTAAAAAGACAGTATAAGTCATTATAATCCATAATTATGTCCCCACTGGATGCAACGAATGCCTCGTTTATAATGGGTTTTCATGTTTTTGAATCATCGCTCCGGCCTGACAGGGCATCACAGTAAGGTGAGGGGCGTAACATTTCCGTCACACGCTTGAGGTATTCGGCCAATCACAACGCACTGGATAGCTGGCCAATCACAGCACACCTTGCTTTTTCAGACCGATGAGCTTTGTAAAAATCGACGCATTTCAGAAAGGCGGGGCATAGAGGAGAAACAATAATGTACATTATATGGAAAATAATGTGTTTTTTTAACCTTAATCCGCATAAACACATTTCATTACACCAAATACACAAAATAATGTTCTTTTTAGAAGCATCATATGACCCCATATGAAGTCAGTGCTGTCACAAGTCAAAAAGGCCAATAAAGAGGATTTCCCTGAGACTCATGGGTCATGACAAGCAGCCAACGAGTTCTCACATTGTGAAAGGCATAAAGAGGATGAATTGAATGCCCTTTTTAAAGTTTTCGTGAAGATCGAGAGCTACAAATAGCTACAACCTCATTGCCTTGTTTTTTTGTTTGTTCTTGGGTGGATAATTGTTATTTCATAAAGTAGCTCCTGATGATTCCTGCCTATACCAAAGACACACAAAGCAATAATCTCCATTAGTGACGTATCTAATAATAGCTAGCCTACTTCTCCAATATGTGAGTCAAAGTGAAACCAGCTGTATATAGAGCTGTGGTTTGATCTGTTGGGTGAAAAGAAGAAAAGAAAAAAAACAGCTTCTGCATTACTATATTCAAACATGTGGTTTGTGTGAGTGTGATCTGCTGCTGGCATCATAAGAAAACATCTTAACCTCCTAAAACCATTTTACACTTTCAAGAGCAAAATATTAAATAAACAATAAAATATTTGGAATTCATTGTTGCAAAAATAATATAGACCAGATTATCTATAACCAATGCATGCAAGACAAGCGTGTACATGTGTAGTGAGTGGGTGGTGCTCAGATATTATTGGTGGATGAATCACACACAACACCAGCTATATTGCAGTTTAACACTGTCCTGTGAGTTCACAATCTCTCATATAGGCTACGTGTTCAGATACTTCAAGTGCTGTAATCTGAAAATGGTTCACATGTTTGTTTTGTTCTGTTTGTGGAGCTTGGTTGGTAAGTTATAATCATATTTATTTTAACTTCTTGCTTTAGTTTTAATCTGATAGGTTGTATTTACAGAGATTTAATACAGAGCCATAAAGCACTTTTTTAAACAGCCAGATGATTTACAAGATAAAAGATGCTTAAACCAAATATTTGTGAGATCTAATTCAATCCAGAAGAGAAAAATAGGGCAGGTGCAATAACAGCGAATCTGTTTCATATCAAATAATTCATGGCTTTACCACCTTGTAAATAATGACATGAAATGATTACTGATTTATCTGAAGAGGGACTGATGACAGACGCAGTTACTGATGTCTGTGCCTGTTTTACACGCATAATGTTTTTGGCACACGTTAACAGAAATTAAGGGCTCTAAAGATTGAACTGGGCCGCAGTTCAGTTTCGTTCTGTGCGGAATAGTCTATAAAAGTAAATCAGCAAATCTGTGACTGTGTTCTTCAGGTGTGTTTGCTGATACAGATGCAGTGGAGTCAGTGTCAGTGCTGGAGGGAGATTCAGTCACTCTAAACTCTGATCTTAATGAAATGATGGATGAGGATCTTATTCTGTGGAGGTTTGGATCTGAAAACACTGTGATAGTTAAGATCAATGTAATAGCCGGCAGCATCACTGTATATGATGATGTTCTTGATGAGAGATTCAGAGACAGACTGAAGCTGGATTATCAAACTGGATCTCTGATCATCACAAACACCAGAACTGAACACACTGGACTCTATAAACTACAGACCAACAGTCTGAGCAAAAGTTTCAGTCTTACTGTCTATGGTGAGTTCAATGTTTGTTTCATCTGTTTTATTTATATATAAATTAATAATATCTTAATATTTCAATTATTTTGATTATTGATTAATAACATGACCAACTCATTTCAGTTAAGCATTTTCTTCTTCGATATTTGTCCATATGTGTAATAATCTTTTATAATTGCGGAGAGAAGATCACTGTCATATAAGACACTCACTGACTGACACGGCAATAAACACATTCTGATCTAGTTTTGTTTATTTCATGTTTTCAGCTCGTCTGCCTGTTCCTGTCATCAGCAGAGACTCTTCACAATGTTCTTCTTCATCATCATCATCATCATCACAGCAGAATTGTTCATTGTTGTGTTCAGTGGTGAATGTGGGTCATGTGACTCTCTCCTGGTACAAAGGAAACAGTTTATTGTCCAGCATCAGTGTGTCTGATCTCAGCATCAGTCTCTCTCTACCTCTGGAGGTGGAATATCAGGATAACAACACCTACAGCTGTGTGCTCAACAATCCCATCAGCAACCAGACCACACATCTGGACATCAGTGAACTCTGTCACACATGTTCAGGTATAGCAGCACTGATAAGAGCATCTATTGCTTCTATGCAAATAATTAATTTGTTGATTTTACCTAAACTGATAGCTTAAGATGCCATAAATGATGAATGAAATGATGAATGAGCTTTTGCCATCATTAAGCTTACTCACGTCTTTCTAAAGGCTTGATTTTTAATAATTTTTTTTACACTAAAGTAAAAAGTTCAGTTTTTGAGTTTATCTAGAGACTAAAGTCAGCTTATTGAAAATATCACAATTATTTTTATTTATTTATTTACTTACAGACGTCCACATCCAGTGTTGTGCTACAGTTGAAGCTGTGATCCGATTGGTCGTCACTGTTCTGATGGGCGTGGCTGCTGCAGCTGCTGCTGTTCTTCTGGTCAATGACGTCAGATCTGCTAGAGGTTAAAAGAGAAAACAGAACAGATATCATAAATATTCTGACATATATTGCAGTTTTAATTGTAAAGATGAAAATATGTGTGTTTAGTGATGGTGAAACAAAACTTTTCTTACCAACGTTTTCCACTGGATTCGATCAGAAAAGGTTCATTACCCGAATCTGGTGTATTAGGGGCCATTTGGTGGCCAAAGCAATGAACATTCTTTAAAGGGTTAGGTCAACCAAAAATTAAAATTAGCCCATAAATTACTCACCCTCAATTCATCCTAGGTGAAAGACTTTCTTCTTTCAGACGAATCCAATCAGAGTTATATTAAAAAAGGTCTTTGATCTTTCAAGCTGTTTCATGGCACTCAGCAGGTGTTGCATGCATCAGTCCAAAAGTAGTTAATTAAAGCAGTTAGTCTCGCATGGCTCCAGGGGTTAACAAAGGCCTTCTGTAGCGAATCGATGCGTTTTTGTAAGAAAAATATCCATATTCAAAATGTAATAATCACTTAGGGAAGTCGTGGCCTAATGGTTAGAGAGTCGGACTCGTAACCCAAAAAGGTTACAGGTTCGAGTCTCGTACCGGCAGGGATTGTAGGTGGAGAGAGTGAATGTACAGCACTCTCTCCCACCTTTAATACCACGACTGAGGTGCCCTTGAGCAAGGCACCGAACCCCCAACTGCTCCCCGGGCGCCGCAGCATAAATGGCTGCCCACTGCTCTGGGGGTGTGTGTGTTCACTGCTGTGTGTGTGCAAGGATGGGATAAATGCAGAGCACTAATTCAGAGTATGGGTCACCATACTTGACCTCATACGTCATCCTCCCGGAACTGCTTTCGTTTACAACAGTGAGCGCAAGCTACATTAAAGTGATTGTTACGTTTTGAATATGGACATTTTCTTACAAAAATGCATCGATTTGCTACAGGAGGCCTTTGTTCACCCCCCGGAGCCATGTGAGACACTTTTTTTAATGGATGGGCATATTTTATTTAACTGCTTTTGGACTGAAGCACTGTAACACCCGCTGAGTGCCATGAAACAGCTTGAAAGATCAAAGACCATTTTTAATATAACTCCAACTGGATTCGTCTGAAAGAAGAAAGTCATATACACCTAGGATGACTTGAGGGTGAGTAATTTATGGGCAAACTAACCCTTTAATTTTTCATTTTCTTCTTTAAAGCAGCACTATGTAACTTTTGGCGCTCTCGCGGTTAATAAACAGAACTGCACACATCCCGCGGAAGAACATTCCAACCGGAGATACTTCTCTAAGTTTATGTCTATGGTGATTCACGCAGGTATGTGTTACTCCGCAGCGGTGATGACCCGACCAGGCTACAATAGTCCAAATATAAGTACTTATAATAAGTGTACCGTAGTGATTCGGAATAAGACAAAAATGCGTTTTGGAAGATGAATTCATGATGTACTCGCTCATTATATACATTTTGCACATTTTGAACACAGAAAAAGTTACATAGTGCTGCTTTAATACTATGCAAGTATGCATTGTACATTTCTTTGTTATTTACACTGTTTTCTTTAATTTTATTATTCTCTCTCTCTCTCTCTCTCTCTCTATATATATATACATTATATATTGCTATTTTATTATGTAATATTGCTATTTATTTTGATTTATAATTGTTTGCAGCAACCATGAAAAAACAAATGTTAATATTTGTCACACCAATAAATCACCACAGAACTGAACTAAAACTGAATATTTAAGCACCGAACTGATATACATCTATGAATCATATACATATTGAATACATGAATACAAATACATGAATAATACATATTGTAACTGCAGGGATGCCATAATAAAATAATCAGAATTAATCTTAATTCAGATGCAGATTTCAATTATGGTTGAATATAGACATTTGCAGCATTAAACAATTTATTTAAAAACCAAGTGTAAAGTTTATTATTAGGCCATTTAAGTGCAATAGGGACAGTTTCAGTAGCCTTAGTTCTGGAAGTATTTTTCCTATTTATTTTTTTTCTATAAGGATTTTACTAAAATAGTAATATCTCAAATATGAATCACAACGGTACACATTTTAGTCTGAAGGGGGGAAAAAACATAAACTTAACTTCACATGTACAAGTTTACATACAGAATCATCAAAAGTCCTTTTTCTTATATAGAAAATGAAGATTTTAACTTTCAGAATCCACATTAGCTGCTTTCAAAGTTATTATAGCTCTTTTCTTTTTGGACAAAGACTAGTAACAACTTCTGTCACAGTAAAAGCTATGAACGGTGACCTTTGTCCTTGTCTTGATGCTACAAACATTGATCTGCATCAGTGAGCTGAACTGATTCTTTGTTTCTGTTAAATGGTCTATTTAGGTTTTTTCATCCTTCTAATAATCACAAAGCATGTGTTGTATCAATTTAGACAAGAAATTTATTTGTGATTTAAATACAAAGCACATAGAAAGAAAAATTCATTCATGAAGCACATAAGGTGCAAAGATATTTTCCACAACATTCACATACTGTTTAAAAGTAATACACAACCATAAACCAAAAAGTACTTATTACATGAACTATAACAAACTGTAGATGTTCTTATTTTGTTGTTTTGGATAAAAGCATCTGTTGAAAAGATTACATGAACTTGCAGGGACTTTCCTTTGACAAATAATTACAGGACATTTAAATGATAAAATTAGAAATAAACAACAAGAAAGAAAATATGACTCTGATCATCACACAGTTAATATTAGCTATGTTTCCAGTAACAGCTGTTTTAATATTTTCATAACAGGTAACTGAGTAATTTATCATTACAGAGGCCTGCAAAGCACTTCAATGTTTCAGCTCAAAACACAATCTCATTTTCCTATTATGTGTTTTTAGAAGAGTTTTTTTTTGCCAAAGCTGTTGCGATCCTCTCAGATCATGAGACTGTTTTCATTCTGTGTCTGTAAGAAAGATGGACAGAAGGTGAAGAGAGAGAAATGAACAATGCCATTTACAGCCACAGAAACTCTGAATATCAGCACATCTGCCATCAATCAGTGAATTAAACTGTTTTAAATGTTTTTCTTATTGGGATGATTTTGTCAGTGCAGGTGAAACCAAACACAGATCTAAAGACACACTACAGTATGCAGTATCTTACCTCATTATTAGACACTTGTTCTGGCAGTTGGTTGTTTTTCTTCTTGTCTGTTTTGAAAAATCATCACACACAATTAAACACTAATTTTGCAAAATGAAAAGGTTTTCCTCTCACTACAGTATTTGTAGCTGATACTTGCCAGTTCTGAAGATGCTGTGGTGAATAAACCTCACACCAACAACAACAGCTGCAGCAGCCACCAGCAGCAGAACAACAACAACAACAACACCAACACATATTCCTACTACAGCAGCTGGAGACCGACCTGAATCTGGAACAGCTGAAGACAGACCGTCATTAGCATGAGCAAATCTGACAGTGTGTTTATGCCATATTCATTGTATATATATTCTCTGGACACCTTTACAGGTCCAATGTGTAGACGTCAAAAACTTGTTTATCTATTAACATACAGAGATTACTTCATATTATAGATGGTTTAAAAACAAATAGAGCTCTCAGATCGGAGGGAACAAACCAGTTAATAACACCTGGGGTTCATTTAAAACATGATGAGATGAAACCAGCTTCCAGAAGATGTCAGATGTGCCTCTAATGGCACTTTTCCACTGCGTGGTATGACTCGGCTCGGCACGGCTTGCATTTCCACTGCAGTTCAATACCGCTTTACAGTGGGCGGGATTATTCACATGTCGTTATAGTTGCGCCGCCTCTATTGCCGAGACTCCTGAAAACACTTTTTCATTCCGTGTCGCCCCATCAAGCTCTCGCTGGATCTACTCCTCTGCTATCAACGAGAGGAACGTCTGTTCTTCCACAACAGACAACGAAACAGCCACGTTTTGGTTGTTAAAAAAGGTGCGCTCGTTCAAAACAGTTGCGTTCGGTACCTTCGCTGGCTGTGCTGATTTAAATCTAGCGCTGCTTGATAAAATTTTTTAGAAAATGACCTTTATGTAAAGCACATTGAATTACCTTGTGTAAGAAATGTGCTATATAAATAAATTTGCCTTGCCTAATTAAATGTATGATATAAATGTATAAATAATAATAACAATAACACTATTGCTGACACACCTAAACATGACTGACAGAAGTACAAGGAAAACACCCCCGTCAGAACAATCTACATTTATAATTACATTGTAATATACTTTTTGTGCAATTTGTTATAATTTGACAAAAAAAGAAAGGAGGATGACACATACTTGTCTCCATCTCTTTGTCCCGTGGTTCTATTAGGACTTCATTCTTGTTTTTGACAGAATCAGAAGCTGAAAAACACAAGAAAATAAAAATGAAACACAAAGAACCCCAGAATTGATCTAAAAGAAATAAGTCATTATGTCATTATGTAAAAACAGGGAACAAACTTCCTGCAGTGTATCAGTTGATAAAGATAAAGAAACACACCTCTAGTCGGAGTGATCTTTTATAATTAAGACTGTTACGCATTCAGAAAAGGGTCTTAAATGACCAATTATTTATATTATATTTAGAATAATATTGTATGAAGTATTCACTGAATATTTGTCCTCACTATGTTCAAAGGGAATCATCTTATTCTTGACCAGATTTGAAAAAGATTTTTTTATTCAATGTTGCAATTAAACTAACAGCATGGCAATGAAAACTGATTTCTTTTTACATTATTTTCTTCTGCAAGAAACCAGTTTGTGCAGTAAAATGTGTTATGTAGATGAACAATAACATACAAGAAAAGACAAACCGGTCTTAAGATCACTGTTCAAACAGACTAAAATTAAAATTTAATTATTTCAGCGTAAATGACATTAAATGACTCACCACTGACAGTCAGACTGATTGTTATTATGATGTCTTCAGGGTTACTGTTTTTTTTGGTGGTTTTTGTGCTGTCACACTTTCGATTTCTGTTCAAACTTTGCCTTTTGCCTGAACTCTCGCTTCTGATGATCTCTGCTTCATAACGTCCAGCGTGTTCAGTTGTGATGTTTGTGATGTTCAGAGATCCAGTCTCATAGTCCACCTTCAGTCTGTCTCTGAATCTCCCGCCTTCACCATCATATAAACAGCTCGTATTGGCATGTCCATTGATCTGAGCTATTTGAATGTCATTAAAGTACCACCGCATTGTTTCATGGTGTTGTTTGGGAACATCAGTGTTTAGAGTGACAGGATCTCCCTCCATCCCTAATACTGACTTCACTGGATGTGTATCACCAAACACACCTGCAAACACAAATTAACAGTTAATAATATATAATAATGCATAAACAACAGAAGACAAAAGAAAGGACCCACAAATAATAATATTAACAATAGTTTGAGAATACATTTGTAGCCGGAAATTAGCTAAATCTGACAAATACTAAAACCTTCTTTGGGGGACAATCTCATTTATAAAAATGGTATAAAGTAAATAAAGCATACATATACACACACACACACACACACACACACACACATATATATATGATTGGTCATTATTATATGTTAAATATGCTATGTTATGGTTGAATATGCAAATTAGTAAATTATTGTTCTAATTAATATTTAATCACTATTTGTACTAATTTACATACATTTCCAGAAGAGAAATCTGAACATTGCATAAACTCAGTTTTTTTTTTTTTTTTTTACATTCTAAGCTGTAAAATTTGGTGTATGTAAGTTCTGCCTAAGTGGAGATCTCTGACTCAATTCATGAGAGAGAGAGAAAAAAAATACTCATTTTGAGAAAACAGCCTCTAGACATATGTATTGTAATTAAAATATAGATGCAAAGTATTGATGCATAGGTGTAATAACAAGACAAGGCATAGAAGCAAATTAGCCTAAAATCTCAAAATTGACTAGTGCATAAATAAATAAATAATAATAAATAAATAAATATCAATGCCTATAGTGCTTGTATGAAAATAAAATATGTTTATGCTGTATTCATGTGTATATAATTATTTTGATACAGCAATAGGCCTACAATAGTGTAGGCTACAAAACTATTTTAAGGCGGTCCATTTTTAAAGGGGTCATATGATGTTGCTAAAAATAACATTATTTAGTGTATTTGGTGTAATGAAATGTGTTTATGCCGTTTAAGGTTAAAAAAACACATTATTTTCCATATACTGTACATTATTGTTTCTCCTCTATGCCCCGCCTTTCTGAAACACGTCAATTTTTACAAAGCTCATCGATCTGAAAAGCAAGGTGTGCCCTGATTGGCCAGCTATCCAATGCGTTGTGATTGGCCGAATACCTCAAGCATGTGACGGAAATGTTACGCCCCTCACCATACTGTTGATGCCCTCAGGCCGGGAAGATGATTCAAAAACATGAAAACCCATCATAAACGAGGCATTCGTTGCATCCAGTGGGGTCATAATTATGGATTTTTTTATAAAGTAAATTTAGAAAAACATTTGGAGTATTTTTTGTTCGTTAAATGTAGGTTTTTTTTAGTTTTTTTTTAAGTAAAGGCCAGCGGCAGACAGTAAATTGATCATAGCCTATGTTTGATCAATTTAGCCTTCTCAAACCATCAGGACTTGCCTAAAATTAAATTAAATATAAAACAGTTATTGTTTTATAATGTTACGCGATCCATGTGCTCGAGGACGAATCTCTCCACTCCCAAGCGGATTTCCTTCACTCACACAAAACTGGACTTGTAAATTAAATATAAAACAGTTATTGTTTTATAATGTTACGCGATCCATGTGCTCGAGGACGAATCTCTCCACTCCCAAGCGGATTTCCTTCACTCACACAAAACTGGACTTGTGCTTTTAACATACATCGTTCCACAAACACAAACGTGCTCAAATTTATTTGATTTTGACTAAATATTTAGGCCCCGTCCACACGGAGACGCGTTTAGCTGTATACGCATACATTTTGTATCGTATAGTGTTTCATCCACACGGATCTGACGTTTTGGGAGTGTGAAACCGATATTTTTTTAAACCGGTAGTGATTCGCGACCGAATTGTTCGATTTAACCGGTTCTTCTTAATGAACCGGTTGAACCAGTTCACCAAATCGGACCGAATCGTTTGAAATGGTTCGCGTCTCCAGTAAGCATTAATCCACAAATTACTTAAGTTATTCACTTTTTTTAACGTGGATGACACTCCCTCTGAGTTGAAATAAACCAATATCCCGGAGTAATTTATTTACTCAAACAGTACACTGACTGAACTGCTGTGAAGAGAGAACTGAAGATGAACACGAGCAGAGCAGCATGTGTGCAGCGAGCCGGGTAATGAAGTACACGCCCACTGCTGGAGCGGTTCTCGTTCTCGAGTCAAGAACCGGCTGCATCGGTTTTCGGATCACTAGTACACTGAACCGAGAACCGTTTCTTTCAGACATGTCCGATTTGAGAACCGATGAGCTGATGATACTGCACATGCATGTAATTTTTCAAGAGGACGAAAAGCATGTTATCCAAGTCTTTTGTTAAACATCAGAAAGTGTGATAATATATATTTTTTTACTTAAAAAAAAGATGAATGTATTTAATTCTGTTAGGTTATAGGCCAAAGGGGTTTGTCAGGGAAGTTGGACAATAATTAAGACTCTGTTTAATAGGAATAAGGGATGATTTATGAAATACCTGTATTGTAATTATAGTTAACGATGACACATTCACAAATTTAGTTTGTAGTAAATAGAACATGAACACGAGTAGAGCAGAGCTGATGATATACTGAACGTGTGCATGCAGTGTGCCGATTAGAGCGGTTCTCGTTCTCGAGTCAAGAACCGGTTGCATCAGTTTTCGGATCATCAGTACACTGAACCGAGAACTGTTTCTTTCGGACACATCCGATTTGAGAACCGATGAGCTGATGATACTGCGCATGCGTGATTCCGCGTGAAGCTACTGAACAGATTGCCTACTATGACTGACACAGCACGTCTGAACCGAACTGGTTCTTTTGGACAACTGATTCTGTGCTAATGTTATGAGCGCGGGTAAACCGCAGACTTGAATGAAGGGCAATCTGGCGAAACGTAAGTTTATTTAATAACAAATAAATCGCAATGGATTATGTATAGTAAGTGGATTATGGTTTCTGCGCTGATGACAACTAATTTATTTACTTTATATCTTCAAGACTTAAATCCTGGTATGCACATCACTGCCTGTTACTGTATTTGGGTGCTTAATTGCAAAACTTAATTGTAAACTTTTTCAATCATGATTATGATGTTTTAACTGACTGAAGTTATAATTACTGACTTTATATATTTGAATGTGTATTTTCATCCCGGCCCGGGACGATATATTTGATATCATTACGTCATCGCGGATGACGTCATTACGTTAGACCGATGAACCGGTTCATTGAAACGAACTGTCTGAAAGAACCGGTTCGCGGAAAAGAACCGGACTTCCCATCACTAGAAACAGGGGCTGTGTCCAAAATCGCCCCCTATACCCTCATTCATTATTCCCTACATTAGGTCACTAATTCAGTCCACTAGAAGGAGTGAATGAAAACGAGTAGTGAATTCGGACACTGAGTGCACCGGAAGGAATGCTGCTTTTGCATAGTTTGTGCTTGCTGTTTATTAATCACTTGAAACTAGCAAACTAGCAGCTCCAGTAGTAAGATTAAAGGATTTATCTTGAACTCTGTCACGGAAATTATGTATAAACCCTAATCAAACAATTTAATAATCAATTTACAATGAATTTATACTCGTGTTGTACATTATGCTGTACGCAGGGGCAGATTTAGTGATTTGGGGGCCCCAGGCAAAATACAGGAATGGGGCCCTATACAATTTCACACATTTACAACCTTGAGGTTCCTTTCACTGCTGCTCGCTGCTGCACGACCATGTCCCATAGTTGTGTCTAATCTTTTAGATTTTTCATGTACATGTTATAAATAAAGGATTTATTTAATGTTGTAAATCCCTTGTTCACATTCAAACAGGTTATAATAGTATTAGTATTAGAGTAGGTTGGACACTAGGTGGTGCGTTGGGGTAATTTTCACTATGCAGTTGTCTACACAAGGCAAGGCTGTCTGATTCTAAACTTTAAAATATACATTTATTTTTATTTTTTTTAATGTGTGGAATGTGCATGGTCCTTCTTGGGTCTTTCACAAAAACGAGTGAGCACCATTTAAAAAAATTTAAATAGGCCCTATATAATATGCACTGTTGCTTAGTATTAAAATTATAGCTTCAGATGCATGATATTTGTAGGGCCCTATGAAATCCGTTTTATTTTTCCCAAATTAGCCTAAGTTTTATTTTTTTCCATTTTAATTTTTATGGATTCAGGTTTTTTTTTTTTTTCTGGATGATTATATTAAACTTTAACAAGAAACATGTCTAATTAATTAAAATCATGAAACTTACTTAATTTAACAGCAATTTAGGCCTATTAAATGTTTAACAAAAATTACATTCTTAGGGCCCAAATTCTGCGCTTTCTTTTTTTTTTTTGTAATTTTTCTGTATTCCATTTTAATTGTTTAATCAAAAACATATCTAATTAATTGAATTCATAAAAACAACTTAATTTATTAATTTGTATACAATAATTTGTACACAATGACATTTTTATTTTATTTACTTATTTTTTAGAAATTCTGTGCTGTGTATTTAAATTTTTCTGGTAATCAACTGAAGGTGAAAACATTAATCTATCTTTTATTCCAATGAAAATTAAACAAATCCTTTAATTTTTGTACATTTAAAATGCTACACAACAGAAGTTTACTGTGTAACAAGCAATGTCACGGAATTCGTCAAATATTGAATGAATAAATCAAATGCAATTCAGTACACTTCAATTAAACCGCGATATGGACTAGTGCATGTGAATATTAAATGGCACAAATACTATTTAGCTACTATAGACGACAACCGCGAGCGTTGCGTGTGCTTAAATAGCAAATGAAACACTCGTCTGCGCCATTCATTCCGTCACATTCCACGTTACACAGTAAATTCCGTTTTTATGAATAGATTCCGGGATTCCATCCCAATTTTCTACATCGCCCTACTTTTGCTAAGAAGCACGTTCAACGCGGACGCACAGACGGTTGTTGTGATAATGAACACCACAGCAACCACTTGTGCGTCCGCACTGAACGCGCATCTCGCATATAAAAAGCATTTAAGGGGGCCCGTGGCTTTTGGGGGCCCTTGGCTTTTGGGGGCCCAAGGCGGTCGCCTACCTTTGCCTAATGGTTAAGTCCGCCTCTGGGTGTACGCCATGGATGAGCGCTTTGTAAAAATGAACGGATTGATTATTCAGCTGCGAGCGCCATCTTCTGGCGAGATGCGGGAATTAATTCGGCGCGTGACTCTCACGGTGCATTATGGGCATTCTCTAGCCATTGAGCGTGCACCAGTTGTACACTCGTTTTTGCAGTGCATTGTGGGATTGAATGAGTGCACTCGAGAAACGTCCACTATGGTATCGGACACCACTAAAAATGGCTGTTCCCTCAAATAGGGCCCTATTTAAGGGTATAGGGGGCTATTTCGGACACAGCCAGGGTCCCAGAGTGGATAAATCTGAAAACGACGCCCTTGCGTTTTCGTGTGGACAGCGAATGTGTATATTTTCTGAAATTATGACATTATCAGCCCACGTCTCGCCCCTAGTCAGACACCGCTACGTCACGTAACAGCAACAAAAACATGAACAAACACTGAACGATTGTCTTTTTATTAACTAACATTAACACAGAGTAATAAATGTATTGTTCCATGTTTGTTTGTATACCACACGCAAGGTTTATGCGCATAGTCCAAGTCTTTTTCTCCATTTTTAGTGCATCTCTGTGGCAGAATTACAGCGCCACATACTGGTCTGGCATGTATACTACATCGTTTTGTGTCAGTTTCGATATTTCTTGAGAGGAGGTGAAAAAAAAAGATAGGATAGAGAAAGCTCTGGCTTCATGTGGACTAGAGGTCGACTGATTGATCGGCTGATTTGTGGCATTTTTTAATTAATCGGCATCGGCTGATTGTGCTGCAAATTAGGCCGATTTATAGGCTATGCAAGTATGCATTGTACATTTCTTTGTTATTTACACTGTTTTCTTTAATTTTATTATTCTCTCTCTCTCTCTCTATATATATACACAGTGGGTACGGAAAGTATTCAGACCCCCTTACATTTTTCACTCTTTGTTATATTGCAGCCATTTGCTAAAATCATTTAAGTTAATTTTTTGATCGGCTGATTTGTGGCATTTTTTAATTAATCGGCATCGGCTGATTGTGCTGCAAATTAGTCCGGTTTATAGGCAGGCGCACTTGTGGGCAGCTAAGCCTTGTTGCGGAACTCCCTCTGGCTGCGTGAGACGGAGCAGCTCATGCTCTGCAGGCTGCAGCAGCCGCTTTTTGTTCACACACACAGCCGTTTCGAAAGCGGGATTATGTTTTACCCTACTAGAATTGATGCCGGAAAGTTATCATATTCATAAGTGCAACAAGTCATTTGCATGTGAAAGTAGAAACACGTTCAATTCAGACGAAACTTCTGGGCTGATTATAACGTGTACGTTATCTTTCCTCATGAAATGTGTCTGTGGGTCCGACAATAGCCTCCATGATGTTATATATTCGCAGCGCACTCTTAAGCAGTTATGAGCAGCAGGCAGTGCAATATGTGTGAAATCTTTTATTTTGGTTATCACTATGGCCATTTGACTTATAGCAGTGTCCAGTGTTTCTTATACATCGAGTTATTTGTGGCGGCTCATCACAATATCAAAACTGACCGCCACAAATAGATTTTCCAAAAGGCTTCTACTTCGTTGAATAAGATGAGCGCTTCACGTTTAAAATTAAAATGCAGCGCGGGTGTTTTTATAACAATGTATCTTTGAAAAGAACCGACTGTCTTCAGAAAAGCTTCGATGTCATTTTCATTTCGTCTTTCCTGTAATGCCTGATAGCCTTTGTGAGCAGCCGTTACCGTGGAAACCGCTATATCTCCCGCTCCAGCAGCGCCTCCTGCTGGCAGAGAATTCATTTGCAGTCTGTGGGAAACACTGGTGTCTGTCAGCAAACATAAACAAAAAGCATCCTTCAGAACTGTTTTGAGAAGGTGCTTAAGTTTTGAGCCATGTATTATTACTCTAAATTGGGCTACTACTAC